ATTAATTTTGACAGTGTATGCTATATTAATTGCACCAATATTCAAGGGTTATAACGCTTTTTTATTATTAATTCTAATTCCAGTTGTAATTGTAGCACTGTAAATATAAACTTGAAATGAGTTACATTTTAGCATGTAATAGTGCCATTGTTAAACAATCCATGCGCTTACTACAGTAATCATTACAAATTATGCATAATTACATGCATCTAACCGTAATCCAAAGCTTTGACCTTGCATGTAATTAAATAATATTACTCAAAGTAGTTAATTAAATACATAATAGTATTAAATTACAGTAACACCAATGAAACAGCACAAAAATGATCAACTTCTCAATTTCTGATATAGTTTGTTCATGCATTAATTAAGAAATGAAAATAAATTATGCATTTGTTTAGTAAATTACTTTGATTTGTGATATTGCAATTTCATTTGACCATCAAGCATCAATTAACAAAACATTTAATTAATTAATTCATACTTGTGCTGTATCATGATTAAAGATAATGTAAATTCATGTATGTGAATGTAAATAATGTGAAAGTAATGTAAATTTGAGTATGCAAATGTACATAATGTAAATATAATGTAGATTCCTGATATCAGCAGCCAATCAGGAGTGGTTTAGAGTTATTTTAGTGCGTCTCGGCGTGAGACTGTTAAAGTGCAGGCCGTGTTTCTGAGCTCACAGCAGTGATTCAGTAATTCAGCTTTTGTCTTTTTGCCTCCTGCTGGAGCGATGACGCTTTAAAACACTGATCACGTCCAAACACTGCGTCTGCACGCGACACAACACACAAACCCTCATCTGTCTCTGAGCACCTCACTTCTGTTGATCAGCACTGAACTCATTCATCATCTGTTTGCAGTCATTCTCACTCTCAGTCACTTTCACTTCTCATTCTTGTCTACGTAAAGCGCTTTAAATGAGCGTTAAATTCCTTTATTGACGTATAAAGCACTGAATAAAAACATATGTGGCTGCAAACAATTTACACGAGCTGAATTTAGACAAGCAGATGAAGTTGAACACCACCACATTGAATTAATTAGTTTACATTCGGCCCATATCAATCACCTGCAGCCACTGCCCTGAAACAACTTAATAACACTGAGTTACAACACTATTCTAGCAACACCTTAGCAACCACCTACAACACCCTAGCAACTGCATAACATTTTAGCAACCACTCAGAACACAGCAGAGACGGACAGATGGAGAGACAGACAGACGGAGAGACAGACAGACAGATGGAGAGACAGACAGACGGAGAGACAGACAGACAGACAGACAGATGGAGAGACAGACAGACGGAGAGACAGACAGACAGATGGACAGACAGATGGAGAGACAGATAGACAGACAGACAGATGGAGAGACAGATAGATGTAGAGACAGACAGATGTAGAAACAGACAGACAGACAGATGGAGAGAAAGGCAGTTAGACAGATGGAGAGACAGACAGATGGACAGACAGACAGATGGAGAGACAGACAGATGGAGAGAGGCAGATAGACAGATGGAGAGACAGACAGACAGATGGACAGACAGACAGACAGACAGACAGAGACAGACAAATGGAGAGACAGACAGACAGATGGAGACAGACAGACAGATGTAGAGACAGACAGACAGACAGACAGATGGAGAGAAAGGCAGTTAGACAGATGGAGAGACAGACAGATAGACAGACAGACAGATGGAGAGACAGACAGATGGAGAGAGAGGCAGATAGACAGATGGAGAGACAGACAGACAGATGGACAGACAGACAGACAGAGACAGACAAATGGAGAGACAGACAGACAGATGGAGACAGACAGACAGATGTAAAGACAGACGGAGAGACAGACAGATGGAGAGACAGACAGATGGAGAGATGAAGAGACAGATGGATGAAAAAACTGATGAAAAAGAGACAGACAGACAGATGAGAGACTGACAGACAGATGGAGAGACAGACAGGCAGAGACAGACAGACAGAAAGACAGATGGAGAGACAGACAGACGGATAGAGAGACAAATGGATGAAAAAACTAACGGAAAAGAGACAGACAGACAGATGGACAGACAGATGGAGAGACAGACAGAAAGACAGACGGAGAGACAGACAGACTGAGAGACAGACAAACAGACAGATGGAGAGACAGATGGACAGATGGAGAGACAGACAGACAGACGGAGAGACAGACAGACAGATGGAGAGAGAGGCAGATAGACAGATGGAGAGACAGACAGACGGACAGACAGACAGACAGACAGATAGAGAGAGACATATGGAGAGAGAGGCAGATAAGCAGATGGAAAGACAGACAGACAGACAGATGGAGAGAGGCAGATAGACAGATGGAGAGACAGACGGACAGACGAGAGACAGACAGACAGAGACAGACAGATGGAGAGACAGGCAGACAGAAAGAGAGACAGACGGAGAGACAGACAGATGGACAGACAAACAGACAGACAGAGAGACAGACAGATAGAGAGACAGATAGATGGAGAGACAGACAGATGGAGAGACAAACAGACAGACGGAGAGACAGACAGATAGAGAGACAAATAGATGGAGAGACAGACAGATAAAGAAGCTGATAGAATAAAGACAGACAGACAGATGGAGAGACAGACAGACAGACACAGACAGACAGACGGAGAGACAGACAGATGGAGAGACAGACAGAGAGACAGACAGATGGAGAGACAGACAGATGGACAGACAGACAGACGGAGAGACAGACAGATGGAGAGACAGACAGACAGACAGACAGACGGAGAGACAGACAGATGGACAGACAGACAGACGGAGAGACAGACAGATGGAGAGACAGACAGACAGACATATGGAGAGACAGACAGACAGATGGAGAGGCAGACAGACAGACAGATGGACAGACAGACAGACGGAGAGACAGACAGATGGAGAGACAGACAGACAGATGGAGAGACAGACAGACAGATAGATGGAGAGACAGACAGACAGACAGACAGATGGAGAGACAGACAGACAGACAGATGGAGAGACAGACAGAGAGACAGATGGAGAGACAGACAGAGAGACAGACAGACAGACAGACAGACAGATGGAGAAACTGATAGAAAAGAGACAGACAGACAGATGGAGAGACAGACAGACAGACAGACAGACAGACAGATGGAGAGACAGACAGACAGACAGACAGATGGAGAGACAGACAGATGAAGAAACTGATAGAAAAGAGACAGACAGACAGACGGAGAGACAGACAGACAGATAGATAGACAGACAGATGGAGAGACAGACAGAGAGACAGACAGATGGAGAGACAGACACACTCAAAAAAATATTTAACCCCAAAAGTTAAACTTTATGTAATTCAATTGGATGTCAATTTTCCATCCAATTTAATCACATAAATCCAACGTAAAAGTTACCATTAGTTTAAGCCTAACCCATTTATGTTTAGTTAACATGAATGAATTAAATAAATGTTATGATAACTGCTGAAATAGGTTTTATTCTTGTATAATACATAGACTTTACTCATTTCGAATACATTATTATTATTTGTTTTATATAATCACCTTTTATGTTCTTAGGTATATTAAATAAATTCTCAACACAGATTAAATTTTTTAACATTTATTGTCCAATAACATCCAATCTGACAAAAACATACTGTAATGCAGTGCTTAACAAATAACTGCAATAGCTTTCTGGTTGTGACTTTTTAGTTTTGTGTGCCTACAAGTAACAGGCATCAACAAGGAAACATAATTCAACATCAAACATTAATTTCACATTTTCAAAGTTACATTGTCATGTTACCTCATAGTATGCTAAACAATGTTCTCTCCTGATCTATAACACAAAAGTAAATGATCCCTTCTTTTTCTAAATGTTTGTTAAAACAATTAACAATGACCCTTAACAATAAAATGACAATACAATAATGAAATAACACCTAAACACAAAATGCAATGAAATAAAATAAATTAAAAAAAGCAATCATTTTACTTTACATATCTAAAGTTTGCATCACTTTTTAATACATATAACAGGTTTACAATTTTCAGCATTTAGAACAGCAAAACAAGTCCTACTCACAGCAGATGGGAATGCTGAATTCCCAGTCGTGGCTTTAAAGGAAAAGTTCACCTGAAAATGAGTATTTACTCACCTTTCACTTGTTTCAAACTTTTATTGTTTTTTTTCTTCTGTTGCTCACAAAATAATATATTTTGAAGAAAGCTGGAAACCTTGACTTTCACTGTATTTGTTTTTCCTACAATTGAAGTTAATGTCAAAATATATTTTGTGTTCAATAGAAGAAAGAAATTCATAAAGGTTTGGAATCAATTGAGGGAGTGTAAATAGTGAGTATATTTTCATTTTTTTACGTGAACTGTCCCTTTAAAACCTTAAAGTGGTGGAATAAGTAGCATTCCACTTTTGTTGAACTATTTTAGTCCTCTAAACCAGCATTTCAGAAGAACATAAAAACATGAAAAACTACTATTTTATAACACAAAAGTAAATGATCCCTTCTTTTTCTAAATGTTTGTTAAAACAATTAACAATGACCCTTAACAATGAAATGACAATACAATAATGAAATAACACCGAAACACAAAATGCAATGAAATAAAATAAATAAAAAGAAAAAGCAATCATTTTACTATACATATCTAAAGTTTGTATCACTTTAATACATATAACAGGTCTACAATTTTCAGCATTTAGAACAGCAAAACAAGTCCTACTCGCAGCAGATGGGAATGCTGAATTCCCAAACTCCTCAGTCGTGGCTTTAAAGGAAAAGTTCACCTGAAAATGAGCATTTACTCACCTTTCACTTGTTTCAAACTTTTATTGTTTTTTTTCTTCTGTTGCACACAAAATAATATATTTTGAAGAAAGCTGGAAACCTTGACTTTCACTGTATTTGTTTTTCCTACAATTGAAGTTAATGTCAAAATATATTTTGTGTTCAATAGAAGAAAGAAATTCATAAAGGTTTGGAACCAATTGAGGGAGTGTAAATAGTGAGTATATTTTCATTTTTTTACGTGAACTGTCCCTTTAAAACCTTAAAGTGGTTTAATAAGTAGCATTCCACTTTTGTTGAACTATTTTAGTCCTTTAAACCAGCATTTCAGAAGAACATAAAAACATGAAAAACTACTATTCTGAGGCTGGAGATGTAACCAAGACAGTCTTAATACATCTGGAAAAGAAGTAATCCGTTGGCTTCCTGGACGCAAAAGTAAAATGGGTAACATCCTGTTTTAAAAGTTTCAGAGATTAAAAAAAAGAAAAAAGAAAGTGCAGTCCATGGCATACTGGAGTTAGTGTCATCAGTCGGTAGAAATATATCTTTTAGGGCATTCTTGTCTAAAGGTTTTCAATGTTGTTCCAGTTGAAGGCATGTAGGCAAACAGTGAATGTCCTATTCACTGAAACATTTTAATTTTAAGTGCTTGTACCTTTGGGGACAGCTTGCTGCCATCTAAGTTCATCAGTACCTTCTGAAAGAATTCAAATGTGAACTTGAGACATTGAGGATAGCTTAAATTGAGAGCGTAGATCAGTCCAAAGAGAATTACTAATCCAAAGGAAATACTCTTTAGGTTCTCTAGCAGCGTTACACCCTCTATCACAACTCCAACATCACTTGGCTCCTCCTCAGCACCAGCACCTTCCTTGCGAATCACAAAAAGCCCCAGAGTGGTCTCAGAAATTCTTGCTTCTGCTTCTTTAGGGTTGCTATCCTAAAATAAACAAGTAAATAAATATTCAATAATTTAATAACAATAAATAAATAAAACATTAATACTTTTAAATTTCAGTTAAATACTGGCAACATCTAGACTGTCAATGTATGTTAGGTTCTTTAGACATATGTATACAAACCTCGAATTCTTTGACAACTGTTGTCATGTCCTCATTGAAGTACACACACAGACTCTGTATGACACAATCTCGCTTGATGTGTATGTCACCACACTGAAAATTAGACAAAATTATACAATATTAAAATATAAAACCAACATGGGGGTAAGATCACAAGACCAGTGATGCATTCCTGATGAGGAAACAACACCCCAGACCTGGAAATATATCCAGCACATAGATGAAGTTTCTGAACAAGTTTTGTTTCTGTTTGTAATATAAATTTTTTTGTGGCAATTATACATTTTTGAGTGTTTTATATGTTGCAATGTTGACAAAGTGTAGGAATCTGCAGTTTTGTGTTTTAAAGAAAGTGATTTACAAAAACTGCTTTATTTGTCTGTATGGGGTGGAAGAAATGTGTGACACTGGAACCTGGTCAAAAATAGAACTATACTATAAATAGAAAATAAAACATATTAAATTGACTGATATTAATCTGCTGCATTTTTGTGTTGTGCAATAATTGTTAAAATAACATTAATTTTGTATTCATTTGTGATTGTTATTTATTATTATTGGTAACATTGACTAATATAGTAACTATAGTGATTACTGTTAAATGTTAAATATGAAGTAAAACTTCCAGTAGGTTGGGACAAGCCTTAAAGCAAACCCTTTTCTTTTCCTGTTACACACCTATTTGAGTTTCTTTCTTCGATTCTAAAAAAAATATTTAGAAGAATGCTGGTTGGTGGCAACGATTAACATGTTTTTTTTCTCCCAACTATGGAAGTCAATGTGTACCAATAACCAGCATTCTTCAAAATATCTTCTTTTGTGTTTAAAAGAATCTCCTAAAAGTTAAAAAAAAACAAAAAAACATGAGAGAGTAAATGATGAAGTCATTTTAATTTTGGGGTAAACTATCACATTAATGAGAGCTTCATTGAACCTCAGCTCATGATCTCAGCTTGTGAATATTTGCATTGTTGGTGAACAAACCATTTTTCAATGCATTAAGGGAAATTGTAACTGGGGCAATTTTATATAAATTTATTTAAATAAAATTAATGTTTCATTCTTAAAATTTTTAAAGGCGGGTTTTCAGTTCAGGATTTTGGTTTATACTCCGTTTCCACAAAAGCATACTGACATGCTCATCAAGGAGTTTACAGAGCATTAGATCTGCTGCAAACTCATATGAAATGCGCGACATAGAGAGTGAAACTCATGTACTCAGAGTTTTAATGTATCTTTTAATGTAATGCAATTTACCACACCTTGTCTGCAACTGTCATGATGCGTGATATCTTCTGTCCAGAAGCACCTCCTTTGCCGCTGAAAACCTTCTGTAGATCAGCAGAGTATTTGTCCAGCTGCGCGAAAAACTTTGACAGAAGAGGCACAGTCGTTATCCTCATAAATTCTGCGTTTATCTGAAAGAAATAAAGCAAAGGTAGATGATGAAATGTAGATGTATTGTGGAGAAATGAATTGAAATTTAGAAAAAAATATCACCAACACTTACTTCATTGACAGTGAACAGGGCAGGCCATCTACTTTGTAAATCAGAAACCATTGGCAAGTCCTCAACCAACTCTTGTCGCCTATAGGAGAAGGTCAAGTGCATTTTTTCTTTTATGACTGCCTCATTATTATTTTTTTTCACTTCAGTTAAGAGAGCAATTCTTTCCTTCTCCATACTATCAGCTGTTTCTCCTCTTGGAAGGCAGGGAAGGAAATTCACCTCAGCCTTTTTTGGCTTTTTGATGTTTGATGCTGCTTTACCCCGACCTTCACGCTTGTTCCTAAGTGAATTTACAGTGATTTCTGGGTGTCCAATCTTGCTGAGTTTTGAGCGGAAATTAGCCATCTTTATCTTTAGATAGTGTTTCCATCCTTCATGACCAGTGCGAGTTCCCTTTTCCCTCAAGCAAGGGTGGACATTTATCAAGGCTTCAGCTGCCTGATCAAGCTGACTATCAGTGGGGTATGCAGCATACCTAAAGATCTCCTCAGCCATGCCTTCAAGAATGTCAGATCTTAATTTTGGTGGTGGAATAAGTAGCATTTCACTTTTGTTGAACTCTGTGTCAGCTCTCTGAAGCTGAATTTCAGCAGAACAAGAAAAACGAGGAATTACAAAAACCTGAGGCCAAGAACTGGTTCTTGACTCCGGAGACTTAATCAAGACAGTCTCGGTGCTGCTGGAAAATGAGTCCTCAGACAAGTAGACTTCTGAGACTGAGTCAAATTCACAAGGGCTAGCATGTCTTGTGTTAGGAGAGTCAGAGCTACAGGTTGTCTTGTGCAAAGGAACAAGAATGCTGGAACAGGACGGTACATCAGGTGCAGTCTCATGCATGCAGGAGTTAAAGTCATCAGTTGACAGAAAAATCACTTTCAGGGTATCCCTGTCTTCAATTTGAGTGGTTGATGTGAGATTCATGTATTCATTTCCAAAGTCCTTATCTTTGTACTGGAG